ACGCCACGCCAGTATGCAGCGCATATGCTCTTGTGGTATGTGTGGGCACTTGGATGTGTACGTAAGAAATGTTCGTGTGTGAGGAAATGTGTGTGTGTATGTGTGTGTGTGTGTGGTGCACAACATCATGCTATCATCCCACCATTATCAGGCTATGAGGATAAGAACTAAAAGTACGACAATCCACATCACATCACATCCTCAGCCCTAGGCAGCAACCGCCCAACCAAATGCGAATGCGCAGTTAAATGCAGCGGGGCGGGGGGAGCCCTGGCCCCAACCAGGGGCCCCCACACGCATTCACTCTCTCACACCCTCCCATCCCCGGCCCCTTCTCCCCCTCCCGACTGTGCCACGTGTTCCCCCCCTCCCCTCCACCTCCCGCCCACACCACACCTTATCTTCTGCATCTATTCGTGCATTTGCAGCAATGAGAACCTTCACCGCCTCCGGATTGTCGTTGTGGGCCGTGCACATCAGGGGTGTCTTGCGGTCGTCCTGACGTCACGGGGGAAGGCGGGAAGGGGAAGGGGAAGGGGGAGAAGGGGTTTCGAGGGGGGAGATAACCAAGGAAGGGGAATACGGGGGGGGATACGAGGGTCCTTCATACGTACAACTACAGCCACTAAAGCAAAATGTGAAGTGTCCAAAACTCAGCTCATCAGCATAACCTCATCGTCATCCATACTCCGAGCTCAGACACAAAAACACAGCAACATGTGTGGGACGTCGTACGTGGCGCTAGGGCCCCTGACAGCGATGGAGTGTGCTCGGGTGCGGTTGAGGGGCTATTGGGCTACCAGGCTAGGGACTAAGTGGGACTAAGACCTGGACGTCCGATCCCTAGAGAGTAGAAGGAGCGCCAAGGGCCGCACGGTTCTAGAATTCTGGCGGCAGGTGACAGGCTTCGCAGAGCTTCGCAGAGTGTCGCGGCGTGGTTGGGATGAGGTGGGAGCTGACCACCACCCGATCGTCTCGGTCGCGGAAGGCAAGGTGATGCACCCGGGACCCACCCGGGGTGGACCAAGCCGGACCAAGTGGTGCAAATGCTGCAGCAGCCGGGCTGCCTGGGCAGCGCGTGCTGGGATCGGTAACAAGAGGGCCTCCGTAGTCAACGTGTGCTTTTTGGNCGGGGCCCCAGCGCGAAGCGCCCAGGGGGGCCCCGCCCTGTAGGATTGCCCATGTCCGTGTGGCCGTGTGGCCGTGTGTGTGTAACGGACTAAACATAATATCTCGCCCGGCTGAAACGCGTTATTGGTAATATATTGCATTCTCTATTGCTAGGTATCTTGCCTGTAGCCAACAAAGATCGTATGAGCACAAACAACTTTGGCTGCCTCCATTCACCGAGCCCAAAGTCACATCAACACCTCTCGGGCTAAATTTCATCTCAAAAGGTGCCACGTATCTCATATTTGATTTCTGGGATAACGGGGTATGATAACTCGAACACCCAGCTTGTGCTACCATTTGCCCGCACGGGCATTCCGATTTGCCACCAGCAGGCCGACATTTTTGCTTTCATTTCTCTATGAAATACGCAAGCTGCTCGTTTGTACAGTTAATTTGGCCCATGCTCGGGGCCTCCGAAGAGTTGCCGCGCGGCTGTGGGGCGGATTGCTGAAGCCGCTGGCGCTTCGGGGATAAACATCACAGACAGCACCGGAAAGTGCTGCGGGCTTTGGGGAAGTGTGTCGAGGTAGGCTTTGAGGGGGGCGCCAAGGCGCGTGAGCAGGCGCCCGAATGGGCAGGTCAATGCCTGAAGGGGCGCTGTAGGCAGTGCATACGGTGCTGTACGGCGCTGTTCTCCGTGTGTGTTATGGCTCCAGCTTTTTCTTATCCTTTTCACGGAGCTTTATGACATGTTTGATCATTTTAACGTCAAAACCCATGGATTTAGCTTCATTGTACGCATCTATTAGGCGATCGGCACTTTCTAGACGTTCCTGTTCTATAGTTGATATAGCAGGAACTACAAGTGCTGCCCCTACATATTTTGATCCTAAAAAATTTAGAAGGTCTGATAATGAATTGATTCCTGCTGAATCAGAAACACAGAAGGATATGGAGCAACCTAAAAATAGCAATTAAATTATATTGCCAGATGAATTAATTTTTGATTCTCCAGCCTTCATCTATTAACTTTTCTAGTATCAGATACATTATTCTATAGGATCCCACTGTCGCCATTGCCGCCGTCACCAACCCCACCGCCGCCATTGCCACCGTCGTGAACCCTGCCATCGCCCCTTCCACCCTCACCGTCCCTACTGTCGCCCGAACCATGCCGCCACTGCCGCTGTCGCCAGCCCTGCGAACGCCATTGCTGCCGTCGCCATCCCCACCGTCGCCATTGCCGCCGTCACCAACCCTGCCGTAGCCTGTTCCACCCTCGCCGTCCCCACGAAAGCCCGGACCATGCCCACTGCCGCTGTCACCAACCCTTTTATCGCCAATGCTGCCGTCACCATCCCCACCATCACCATTGCCGCCGTCGCCATCCCCACTGCCGCCATTGCCGCCGTCGCCAACCCTGCCTCCATCCCCATCCCGACCGCTACCAAAACCACCGTCGCACCCCTGCCACCATCGCCATCCCCGCCGCCGCCTGTGCCGCCGTCGCCTGAGCCACCGTCAACCAAGCCGCCATCACCGCTTCCCCCTTCACCTCCCCCACCGTCGCCATTGCCACCATCACCTCCGCCCCGCATCCCCCTCTCTCTCTCTCTCATCCCCATCTCCTATAAGAGGTAGCTATCTCTTCCCCGGATTCCCCTCTCCCCTCTCTCCCCCACATCCACCTTTCCTATCATGGGCAGCAAATCATGAAAAAAAACTGATTCGTGAATGGGCCGATCGGCCCATTCTTGATAAATGCCAGTATCTAAGAGTGATGAAACGAGTAGTTACGAGATCCGGGTGAATAACTGGCAACACAGGCTGGCAATCATTCCATCATGCGATGCTGAAATGCTGTGACGACCGGAAAGCAGCTCCAATGCGGACTGATATAAGATCGAACCATTACTCGATACCATATGTGAAGGAACAGGCTCCTGTGGGAGGAAGCATTAGTTCGCTGGGTCTGCAGAGCCCGACATCAGAAGGCTGGCCGAGAGACAACGGACACCACATCTAGTCGGCAATGAACACAAATCCCTTACACACATGGAATTGCATACATTTCAAGAATGAATAATGAGAGTAAAAGATGCCATTGCGCTTGCATGTGTGAGTGAATGCGGTGATGCAAGGCGAAGTGCGTGATGACCGCGGAGGGAGGGGCGGGGAGGGGCTCGTGAACCTGGGCGGGGAAGGGGCGGCGAGGGAAGGGGGGAAAGGGACTTGTTAGCAGTGGAAGTCATTTCAATCCTGCCACCCTCCCCCCGGACACCGGACACCGGGTCATGGGGAGCCAACTGGGTTGGGTAACCCATAATATGCAGTACGGCACTACCGACCTAGTGAGCATGCTGCGGATGGAATGGGAGAGGTTGGGGACGTCCGGGAGGGGGGAGAGAGAGAGGAACGTGGTGAAGGGGAGGCGCGGGTTGCCGCACCGCATGGTGTTTCGTGACCCAGCCGAATGGGCGTCGTGCTCTGGCAGCCGGCACCCTTCCCTCGCCCACCTTATCTTCCCCCCCTTTTACCCCGCGGCCCACAGAAGAACTTAACGCCCATGCACGTCGCGGCGGAATGGGGGCATCCGGTAGCCATACGGTTGCTGGCCAAGGCGGGAGCCAAGGTTGATGTGTCCGGATCGGTGGGTCCGCCACCGGGGTTGGGGGTTGGAGCAGAGAGGAGGCAAAAGAGGGGTATTAAGGGGCTGCCTGGTCCAGCCCCACACCGCGTCGACGGTTGCAGATTCAATCAAAAGTCCTGCGGGGCTGGCATCACTTTCCCGTTAGACGCCTAGTGGTGCAACTGTATGTCAGTCTGTCAGACCCCCAGTGGGGCGGTGGGTTGGGCCCTTAGCATCGGCAGCCCGCAGGTCTGCAGCCCTTGGCCCACTGGCAATGCAAAGATGGATAGCAGCGAGGCTGTGAAGGGACCCTCCGCGGGGAGATGGGTGTTGAAGGGGCGGGCCTCGGGACCGCAGGGGGATATCTGTCTCTTCCTTTCTCTCTCTCGCGCGCATTTGCGTGGGCCTTGCAGGTAGAGGGACATACATACATGGAGTACGGATAACTGTCCGGATACACCCCTGCATCCGTTGTGGGAGGGGAAAGCGGGTCCTAGGGGGGCTTGGGGTGTGTGGAGGGGACCTTCCTCCTCCGTTCTGGAGCCCATCGTCTGCTGCACCTGCCTGCCTGACCTTCCTTGCTTCGGCTGGACTCCCCTTCCCCCTTCCCCCTCTCTCCCCTTTCCCCCCTCAGGTCGGTACCCCACTTCACCTCGCAAGTATCTACGGTACAGCTGATGCCATACAGGCGCTCCTTGACAGCGGAGCCAACAAGGAAGCAAGAGAGCCGGTAGGGATGAAGGGGGCCCTGAAAAGGGGGGGAGCTGTCGGCATGTATGCGCACACGTATGTGTTCGTGTATGTGCGGCCCCTCGTGCATATGTCTGTACACGTGTGTGTCTGTGTACGTGTGTATCTATGTGTGTATGTGTGTATTTGTGTGTGTTCTGTTACGCATCGATCCTGGCCTGATGCTGGGCAGGGACACCCCATCGCACCCGAACGGGAACGGCCACCGACGCACTCTCCCCCTAGGGAGAGGAGAAGGGTGTGAGGGGCCACAGTCCCCGCATATCCGACAGAGGGCGCGCGACCCACCCTGTGTCTCTACGATTCTACCTCATGTAACCGATGATAAAAAGACACGTTGGCTACGGAGGCCCTCTTTTAACCAACCCCAGCACGCGCTGCGGCACAGTTCCGTCCAGGCAGCCTTTGCACCATTTGCAGGTGCGGCTGCCCACCCTGGTGGTCCGTGCATCACCTTGCCTTCCACGACCGAGACGATCGGTCGTGGAAGCTCCCACCTCATCCCACTTAGTCCCTGGCCTGGAAGACCAATAGCCCTCAACCCCACCCCTGCACACTCCATCGCTGTCAGGGGCCCTAGCGCCACGTACGACGTCCCACACATGTTGCTGTGTTTTTGTGTCTGAGCTCGGAGTACGGACGACGATGAGGTTATCCTGATGAGCTGAGTTTTGGACACTTCACATTTTGCTTTAGTGGCTGTAGTTGTACGTATGAAGGACCCTCGTATCCCCCCCCGTATTCCCCTTCCTTGGTTATCTCCCCCCTCGAAACCCCTTCTCCCCCTTCCCCTTCCCCTTCCCGCCTTCCCCCGTGACGTCAGGACGACCGCAAGACACCCCTGATGTGCACGGCCCACAACGACAATCCGGAGGCGGTGAAGGTTCTCATTGCTGCAAATGCACGAATAGATGCAGAAGATAAGGTGTGGTGTGGGCGGGAGGTGGAGGGGAGGGGGGGAACACGTGGCACAGTCGGGAGGGGGAGAAGGGGCCGGGGATGGGAGGGTGTGAGAGAGTGAATGCGTGTGGGGGCCCCTGGTTGGGGCCAGGGCTCCCCCCGCCCCGCTGCATTTAACTGCGCATTCGCATTTGGTTGGGCGCTTGCTGCCTAGGGCTGAGGATGTGATGTGATGTGGATTGTCGTACTTTTAGTTCTCATCCTCATCGCCTGATAATGGTGGGATGATAGCATGATGTTGCGCACCACACACACACATACACACACACATTTCCTCACACACGAACATTTCTTACGTACACATCCAAGTGCCCACACATACCACAAGAGCATATGCGCTGCATACTGGCGTGGCGTACTACCCCTCCCCCTCCCCCTCCCCCTCCCCCTCCCCCTCCCCCTCTCCCCCCGTGTGTTAACTGCACATGGACCCACAGGATGGTTGGGAGCCAATCCACTTCGCGGCCAAGGCCGACTCGTATGAATGCTGCAAGCTGCTCAAGGCAGCGGGAGCTAGCACCAGGACCAAAACCAAGGTACGGCAGAAAATACACACGTACACACACACAAGCCTACCTAAAACCCCCACACACCGTCCCCCACTTCGCGATTTTCACCACCCCCTTTCCATCCATCACATCGCGGGCCATCCCCCATTCCGGTTTTCCTCCCCCCCTTCCACCCGCCCAGCCTGCGACCCCCTCCCCCCGGCCCCTGCTCCCCCTTCCAACCCCCAGGGAGGTCACTACCCCATAGACCTCGCCACGACCGGCCGCGTGCGGAGCATCCTGCCGGACGGTCGCGGGCTGCTGGAGGCGGGCGGGAACGCCCTGCTCAAGGCGCTGTTCTGAGGGCGTGTAGAGGAAGGTCGGGCCCTATGTTTGCGCCAGGGCCCTATGTTGCGCCAGGGCCCTATGTTTGCGCCTCCGTCCTGGGGCGGATGTGCCCCTAGAGGACGTCC